ACACAGACAGCTCCCCGTCAGTCAACATCACATTCACCATCAACTTCAATGTGTGCCAAATTAATTGCGCAGACATGACACATTGTAACAGACTAATAGTCTGTAATGACTTGGTTTCCTCTGCAACTCTTTTCTCTTAATTAAATTTAGACTGAAATGTCCACTTTGTTATTTTGTGTAGGCCCTACTATTATTTACAACTTGTAATTACCTACCTATTTTTATTTTAATCGCAAGTATTTATATAACATGCACACCTGTAACACGGCCACTAATGCACAGCTATAATCAGAAACTTTAGCTATACTAAAAGATACAATAGGCTGCAACAGAACTTCGTTGATAGCCTCGGATTAATTTTTTTTGGTTAAAATAATTTCAAACTTGTAAATGGCGTTATCGTCAAAAGTTTAATTAGACTATACACAGCTATCTGTCTCTGTTGTTGTAAAAATTCTTTGTGATTTGAACTTTGGTTTGAAACGATAGAATTTGTTAATTAAATGCATTCCTTTTAGCCAGATAGCCTAGGCTATATTACATAACATACAGCGATATATTTTAGTTTCTTAATAAAACGTTATTGTTTTTTTTCACACACGCATGGCAAAAGGTTCCACCTGTTGTTTCTGTAAAGATACCTATTTAAAAAAAATAAATACATAAATGTCCGATAGCTCGTGTTTTCACCTGTCGCCAAACAAGCTGCATATATATATATAACTTTAATGTTGTGTTTTAAAAATCTTTCTCACATTGATCTATGTGTGAGAATGGCGCTATATTAAAACGATTGCACCCCGAAAATGTCCTGTGCCTTAACATTTAATCATTTAGCAGCTGTTTAACAAACAAACAAATAGGCGACATACATACATTTATTACAAATATAGTCTAATAATAATAATGATGATGATAATAATAGGTTCATAATAATAATAATTGAATTATTCACACGCTGCCCAAAAATGTCAGAGAAACATAGGTTTTGAAATTCACAGCCAAAGAAGATTTTTGACATGATGAACAGCCATAGCTTACCTCCGTTTGGCCCCCTGAGAGACAGCGGTGCGCTTCTGGACTGCAGGGAATGCAGCATGGAGTTCTCGAAGGGCCCCGCGGGCCACGCCGCCGGTAACTGTGATAGCTGCGGTGCAACATACGGAGGATACGGGCTTGTGTAAGATCCACTTATCGGCCGTGAAAGGTACTGGTCTCGACTGTTTACATTCAGAGGATTCGTATAGCTGGTATCCCTCGATGTGCCGTTATTCATAGGCGGACTGGGGGAGTAGTGGAAACGGTTGGAGGTATGTGGGCTTCCAGTGCTGTAGGATGGGCTCTCTGGGGCGGACTGTGACCAGACCGAGTGACTGCTGACCGCATGGCTCGACTGCGATGACGCGCTGGGTTGCAAGTACGATAAACTCGGTATCATCGTTCCAACGCGAGACGTCGGCACATAAACGGGAGAATTAGGGTTGGAGTGCATGTAACCGGCCGATGGCGTGTCGTTATAACCGGCCTGACTCTGGGCCGCGGCGATGGCCAGGGTCTGATACATGTCGGTAGGGTCCACAATTAAGCCTCCCTTATGCGTCTCCCTGGTGTGCCCACCTGAGATGATGAGTTTGTTGCCCTGGTCTAAATCCGTGAAGAGTGTAACGTCGTCAGAATTGGACAGGGCGTTGTTGGGATGGCCAAAGTGGACGTAGGAGTGTAGGGGCCTGCCCTCGGCGCGACGCGTTCCCACCGCGTCCAGGTGCGCCGGCGCCGGTGATCTCAGCCGGTCCCTGCGGTCAGTGTTCAGGTAGCTCTGCTCAGCCGGAGACCCTGGGCTGCTGCTGGACACTTCGCGCTTGACCATGGACCAGCTGTTATCTCCCAGGTCCATCCAGGATCCCTTTTATTTCTCACAGTATGTGGAAAACACAGAGGCAGAATGCGCTGAAAATGAGAACATAAAATGTGAGATACGTCGGGGAGAATAATATAAACGAGAAAAACGAAACGAGAGAACGCAAATATTTTACTTTTAGAGGATCTCAAATCATTAAGCAAGTTGAGTTTTAAGCACTTCGTTTTAAAACGTGCGCAACTTTTTTCTCTTATAGCGGATGGAGAGTTTCACTTCAGAAAGCGCGCAACAGTCAAGTACAAACCTACTCAAATAATTCATGATTGTTGTGCCATTTGTAATATTCTAAATGTGAAAGTTGAGCTGCATGACGTGATTGACTGAACACAACTTCACCATATTCCCAGAAAACACATGCGCACGCACATACACACCCCATACAGGGCTTTACACTGAAGATCTGAATCCATCCGTGCCATGAGTCCTCCCTCTTGGTGTAGCCTCATCATAATTACCACCAAAAAAAACTCACTCAACGTAACAGATAGGAAACTAAACGTAATATGTCTTTGCAGAAAAGAGATAACCACTTGATAAGACCCACAAAAGATAAGCGAGAGAGAGGCAGGGTAAAGAAGAAGAAAAAAACAATACCCGAAATGATTTAGGCTCTCCTCAGCTGGCACCAAACTCAACACCAAGACAAGTTTGACAAAAGCAGGAGAAGACATTTATATATGTGAGAAGAAAAAACGTCTCCACTGACCTATTGGTGCTTTGCCATAAGTTGGTGTCCGCAGGATCCAGCGGTTATGTGGTTGCAGGACTTGGAGAACTATT